GAAAGAATTAGAAGAACAGATAAATTCGTTTAGGAATGTTGTAGAGTCCAAGGACAGAGAACTAAAACAAGTTCTAGATAACAGTCGAAATGAAAAAAGCTCCATGTTAGTTGAACTAGAAAACGTCAAAAGCGAAAGAGACGATATTCTTGAGCAGAAATATCTTGAAACACGCGAGTTGAAAAACAAAATTTTACAGCTTGTACGCTCGGTAACAGACTCTGAAAGCAATGAGGAGGAAAATGTTGACAACATCGACGTTAATTTTCAATCATTGCTTCATACAGTAAAAAACCAACGGAACAGCGCTCTCAGGGAACGAGATAATGAAATTCAATCTTTGCGGGAACAGCTTTCGAACGTGACATTGCTAAACAAAACCACTGAGACTCATGGATCAGAGTTAGAGCATGTATTGCGTGACAAAGAAGAGTTACACAGGATGTTGTTACAGTCACGCAATGAGAAGGAAGACTTGTTGCGCGAGAACGAGTCGACTGTAGCAGAATTACAAGATCAGATCGTGAGTCTCAGTCGAGCGGTTAGCGAAAAGGACCGTTCATCACATCAAGACTTACAGCGGGTAATCCAAGAGAAAGAACGTATTGTAAATGAGCTAGAGCAAGCACAGAGAGATAGAGAAGAGGTTAGTAATGCCAAAACACAACAGCAAGGTGAGATAAACAGACTACAAGCTGAGCTGCACGATCTTAAAGGTGTTCTTACTCAAGAGCGAGCGACCACTACCACTCTTCACAGAGAGGTGGATCAATACAAGATGGCGATGCAGGAGAAAGAGAGGATTGTCAAGCACTTTACGGTTGAGAGGGAACAGCTACAGAGGACACAGGAGAAATTGCAATTCCGCATTCAGCAACTTCAAGAGGAACTGACTGCTGCTAGTAGTGGACAGAAGGTGGCTGAAACTAAGATGGCTCAGGAATTGAACCGCCTCAGAAATCACCTGGTACAGGTATGGCAAACCTCCCTCTCCCCCCCCCCCCTCCGTGAAATACGATATGGTCCATCGTGGAAACGAATGTCCACACTCGAAGAGAGTTTCGCAGTGAACTCAATAAGGTCACAAAAATGCATTGGTTCTCATTCGTAGATTTGTGCGGGAATAGATCATCTCCTTTAACTTTCGGTTTTTTTAGCCTGTCAGACACACCTAAAGTTTAAAATAAGTTGTATCAGACTTGATAAGCAATTTGTCACTCGCTTTCAGGTTGAAGAGAGCTACACACGCGAGGCCCTCGAGGCCGAGGAGCGAGAAAAGGACCTGAGGATGAAGTTGGCTCGTGCAGAAGAACAGCTGTTGTCAAGTTCACATTCCATGCTGGACAGAGAGTAAGACACAACGCATAATAATGCGAAATACAATCCACTTTTACTAATAGTTGCGTCTGTGGTAATGATTGACTTACTCTGTTAGTTCAAGCGCAAGAAACCAAACTGAACAGGCCGAAACAGACGTTTAAAAAATGTCGTCAGCTACTCAGAAATAGAACAAAGTACTAAACGATCAACTAACCATCAAAACAAATGGTTTGAAACCGAAAGAGAAGTGAATCAATATTTTTAAGGGTGATGCTCCAACCATAAGAGCCTTACTAGGTCTGAGCGTTCGCAAGGGGAACGCAAAACACTATATGGGATTTCCGAAGTATAAATTGTCACACAGCATTCTCAGAGTGTAAAAAGTGCATATCTGATCCGGTATTTTGACAACTGGTTTTGATTAAAGCTTCTGTGACTTTTTTAGTCGTCAAGCGTCTGTGCAGATTGAAAGCCTCCAGGAACAGCTCCAGGCCATAGCAGCTCAACGTGACCGTGCGGTCATGGATCTAGCCTCGGTTCAGGAGCAGGCACATCAGTACCAGACCGCTCTCAACAACCTACAGCTTGTTCTTGAACAGTTCCAAAGAGGTAGGATTTCTATTTAAACAGTGTAGATTGTGGTGTAGGTACTTGTTTTTAACGCACAGGTTTTTATTGTTCCATTTAGAGCGCGAATCTCAACTGAGAGCTACCCAAGAAGAGGCTCAGAAACGAGTTGATGATGCCTGGGCACAAGTTAAAGAGCTTCAGCAGAGAGAAAATCATCTGAAGGTGCGCAGTGTTAGCCGGGAAGAAAAAATGTTCTCAGTGTGATGGTTGTGCATGGCAGCTCTCAAATGGCTTTTTTTTTCCTTTCTTTCTTAGAGTCAGCTAGAAATAGCTGCTCGTATAACGCAAGAAGTGGTGAACATCCGAAACCAACTGAAAGCCAAAGATGAGGAACTACTTCATTCTAAGGAAGAGGGTTTGTTTCATTATTTTTCAAGGTTGCGCGGTTTTGCGCAATCTTTTTTTTATCGTCTCTCGAAGGTAATCCAGAACTGGATCAGTTTTGCCTCGATGCGCTCAGTTATTGGTCCAGAAAACTCGCGCAATACTCAGCCAGTTAGATAAAAACTCCAACCAACCAACTAATCGCGACTCGGTCACTACCGTGTTTTTCCCAAGCTTCACGCAGTTTGCTTGCTTTTGCTTTGTGGTATGAAACGCTCCTTGTCATATTCTCTTTTAGTCTGATGTGCTGTAGTGATTACATCGGTTTTGGTTTTGCGACAATCAAATAAAATTTGCTTTATAACCGATGGTTTCTTGGCTTCTATCTGCTGATTTCTTATTGTTATCATTTTGATAGTTACCCGACTGGAAGAAGAATTACGTGTCGCTCATGAGAGAATCAACAGCCTAAACAGCTTGTCAGACGGCAAAGTTGAGAAGTGAGTATACAGAAAACTGATTCATTTTTCTCTCATTTAGTACCGCCTTATTTCGAGACATATTCTGCTCTCTGTTGCTTATGGATTAATTGTCTTCAATATATGAATTCTTTCTCGCTCTCTTTCCATAGATCGCTGGTGAAAAACATGCTGATGGGATATTTTAATACACCGGAAAACAAACGAATGGATGTTGTACGAGTCATTGGAGGTTTGCTTGGCTTCACACACGAGGAGCTGGATAAGGTATCACCATGTAGCTCGTGTGTTTTATATTGTCGTAGTTTTTCGATGTTTTAGTTCTTTTGTTTTTCCTTTTTATCAGGTCGGGACTGGATCCTCACCTCCCACAGGATCATGGATCTCCAACTTAATTCCGTTCGGTCCCAGTGCCCCCAAGACTCCCACAAGGACAACCGCCTCGGCACCAAAGGTATGAAAGAGAAATTATGCACCTCAGTGGACTCAATTCTTGTCATCACAGCTGGAAACAGAAGTAGTACTTGACTTATGATACGGTGAAATTTTTTGTTTTCAGTCGTTTTCAGAGTTGTTTGTAAGTTTCCTGGAGAGTGAGTCTGAAGTGCCTCGTTCCAGTGGTGAGGCAAGCGGACGAGTGACCAATCCTCTTCTGTCTGGTATGACACCACAGCAATCTACAGCTAGTCACGTGCCAAGAGGGCTACCAATGGCAACTTCGACTCCTATTGGTACCCCATCCAGAAGTAACGCACCTCCCCTGCCTCCCCTCCCACAGTCTGCTGTGTCACGTCCTCCTTTTTCAGCGCCCGGCGAGGGTGTAACGAGGTAAGTTATTCAGGAAATGAAATAGGTAAATACATCTGATGAACCAAACAAATGAATATAAGACAATGTAGTAGTGGCACGCCCACACAGTGACTGTATCCACTCTTTCTTGGTGAAAATGAATTGTTGGTTTCGATGGAAAGTTGAAAACCGGGGAATCCAGAGCAAAACCTTCGGAGCAGGGTCAGGAACCGTCATGCCTACAGAAATATTGCGAGCTTGTAGCGAATTTTTCACAAACCTTACTCAGGCCATTAAGTAGTTGTAAGAGCCATTCGGTTTTCATAAGTGACAGAGTCTTTATCTCTCTATCTCACAGAGCTAATACGTCAGTGACCAGTGGGAACCCTGTGCTTGTGGGTTCACTCCCACCCGTCCAAGCTAATTCGTCAGGCACCAATGGGAACCCTTTACTTGTGGGCTCACTCACACCTGTACAAAATCTGCCAGCCCTCAGTGGGTCCAGCTCTTTACGGACCCTACTTGAGGGACGGACGTAGTATAATGAAGTCGCCGCACAATAACGTCGCAGCGTCGCTATTGTTAAAATCCGCTGATACGAGACGTGCGGGCCTTTAAAATGAGTCGAGTTGACTACAAGTCTTCTGAAACCACTCTAATTAGATATTAATCCCTACGTTAAACCATATTTCCGACAAATCTAGGACCTCTTGGTCGAGAAAGAATTATTAATTATACATTTAGTTTTTAGGTAGCGTATTGAATCTACATTCTGAGAATACCTATTGGGTTTTCCCAGTTTCGAGTTCAATAATCAAAATAAAAAAAGATGCGGTGAATATTATGGTTTGTTGTTTCTTGTTTCACTATTTCACGTCACAAAGTTGCATACATTATAATTAGGTAAGTTGGTTTTATCAACTGGGTTGATAACGTGAATTGACCGCCGTAAAGAGTTTCAAAACCCGACGTTTCGAGCGTTAGCCCTTCGTCAGAGCGAATGGAATCCACACACGCAACCCACAACTCCTCCATTTGCTCTGACGAAGGTCTAACACTTGAAACATCAGCCTTTGACTCTTTACGGTGGCCAATTTACGTTACCAACTCAGTTAATAAAAAAAAACACCATCTCCACACAACCTTAAAAATTCCCATAAATTTTCAAAGTTCCGTGGGTGTTTTTTACTGATTAAATTTATAGAAAACAAACTTTATCCTCGACTGTAGATCATAAATCATTTATTTACATTTCAGAATATAATAACGTAAAAACAGCGACACCGTTTAAGAAAAACGGTACAGTATATACAGAATAAAACTACTTGTTGAAATCATTTCGTACTAAAAATATTGGTGCAACTATGATTAATTGGTCTACCATACTGTACCATCATTGTAATCAGTAAACAAGGCCATTGAATTATTTACATGATTTCTGATACACTAGAGGTTAAATGGATATCCGCACCGTCGCACATCTATCGAAGCATCACGGCATGTTTTCTTTCATAAACCTCTGTAGTGCGTTCAGCCGCGCATCAATTTCCATCATTTCCGCTGACCTGTTCAGGGACTCGTTTCCAATGTCTTCGAGGAAAAATAAGAGAAAGTTCACATGTGTTCGCGCTGAATCCGAATCAAATTCAAGGGGAGTAAATTCAAATTATCATGCACCATTTACAGCCACTGAACTTAACACTTACCTCGAAATGGCGAGCCTCGATGATGACGCTTCTCAGACGCTCTGGAGTGTGAAAGACTATTCTCAGGAGTACTGGAATAACTGCAAAAACGTCAAGGAATAATAATGAAGAAAAAAATAATGGAATACTGAGGCCTGCAGGTAAAGGGAAAGTGGCCACGATGAACACTTTTCGCTGAAGTGCCCCAGTATCAAAGTAATGAGCAAAGGTAAATATGACGAGAGGCCAAGGAATGTGAAAAAGGGCGGGGAACTGACGCGGGTGACCAAGTCGTGAATGACCGACTGCTAACAGGAAACTGGTCGTATTAATAAACAAAAGGATACGGAACTTTGCCCACTTTCACTGCCGTTCCTCGCTCCTGAAACAGAACAAAATAAATTAACAAAAACCTCCACTTCATTGTCAAGGTTCAAAAGAAACAAACTGAATCTAACAAGTACGAAATTAGGCCTCGCATACTATATCTGAGTCCCCAGGGCTGTACCACGAGTTTTTCTTTGCAACAGTTCTCGTCTTCCCTGTTGAACTGTTACTGGGCCTGGAACAGAAAACAAACAACTGCGAATAACTTAATGGGCCATGAAAAATGTAGTCGGCCCACCTGATTCAACAACCTTGTAATCAGCTCCTTGGCTGAGAGCTTGTCCATCAATCCCAAATAGTGAAGGAGTTTCAAATTTGAGCAACAAGTAGCAAAACTATATTCCATTTGATTTCAACTAATTTATTCCTGTTTTCTCGTCACGATATTCCCGCCAATGGCGTAGCTCCACTTTCTGCATATAAACCCACACACAACCCACAATTCCTCCAATCGCTCTGACGAAGGGCTAACGCTCGAAACGTCAGCTTTTTTACTCGTTACGGTGGCTAATTTACGTTTTCAACCCAGTTGTTAACGCTAAATTACTTACTATATTCCATTTGGCCAACCTCAAAGAGTTAAGCGATGCAATGGATTGGTAGATGGAGAATGGCACCCAGCGACATGCGAAGCAATGCCCTTGGAAGCGCCAATGCTTTTTAACATTTTTTCCAATCTAACATGCAACATGCGATCGTAAATTGCAAAGATACCATTATTGCTATCCAGACCTGGTTCTTGGCCGTCGTGGTGGCGCATGCTCCATGTCATCAGACATGTAATCCTTATCTAACGAAGACTGGGACGATCGCCTTGTTCCCAGGCTCCCGTTGGACGATGTTCTTTTTCTACCACCTGAATGGAACAGAAGACAGTTCCGATTCAGTAACTGGACTTGTCGTATGATTTACCGACTAACTGACTGTCACGTCACGTCTGACTGGCTAACTGGCTGATTTGTGCTCACGTTCCGCTTTCGCGTAATGTTTAAGATATAGCATATTATGAGCCTAATGTATCGCGTAACTTTTCCTCCTGCCTAGAAGTAATTCTAAGTTATTGACTCGTGATCCTGTAAACTACCTCTTAACCAGTTGACTATACCTGACGACCAGGCGCTGGGATTCTTCGTTCCTGAACTGGGGCCTTTTCGAGGTAAACGATCTGCCGATAGGGACCTTGATCGAGCTCTTTTCGCAGATCCGCTGGAAAGCGATCTTTTTCTCCTACGTAATGGAATAATGAAAGGGTCATTGAGTCTTACAAGACAGTTCAGTGGGACAATCAGCTACACTCTCTAAATTATCGTCAATAAAATCCATTCCATGCTTGCTATCTCTTAATTTTTTTGTATTATCGTGTTATTTGTTAGATCACTTTAACTCATTCAATCCGACCTTACTCATTCAATGAGCATTATATTATTTGGATAACACCCTTCCATCTTCCTTTCTTGTCCGCTCTTTTAGCTCGCATCTCGGAAGGGGAATGCGCGGGCCTGCTTGCGTAGATCGCGTACAGCCCATATTCGAGTAAGTTTTCCTATCATGTTATACAATAAAAGCCTACTCGCATCTGTACGGGTCATAAGATAAAATCAAATGATCAAAATATTCTGCTTACAGCAATAACAATAAACTGTTTACAGATCTTATACTTTCTCCCAGATTATCGTCCAGAACTCGAGCGAACTGGAAGCTGCCGAATATTTAAAGAACGCTAGCGCAAAAGGGGTGACGAGGGAGTAAAAAAAAACGGCCTATGCGCATTTAGAGGCAATTAAATTCCCAGTCTTCGCACAAATGAAACATTCTATTGCATTTACTTTTTATTGCTTGGTCATTCGCTCTGACGAAGAGCTGAAGCTCAAAACGTCAACTTTAGAAACTATTTACGGTAGCCAATTTACGTTATCAACTCAGTTGATAACAGTACGTTATCATGTTATACCCCACCGACGCAGCACCATAGCTTTGTTTTTCAGAAACTAACCCCCTTTACATAAAAATGAACCTTGTTTGGTCTTAGTTTCTCCTAACAAAGTTACAAAGTAAACTTGAGTGACCTTACCCTCTGGCATCGTCCGCCTCCTTCTGTTTCCTTTGTTTTTCTTTCACATATCTTTTTATTAGTTAAGGAAACTTTTTTAATTATTCAGTGAGGCCCTGCTGAGGATTTCTTGTAGTATTCCAAGGGTCTTTTTCAAGTTTGGTTAAGGCTATGGTAATTGTGGTCTTCCAATGCAACTTGGCCCTATGCTCAGTTTAACCGACACTTACAAACATCTAACTACACAAAACTCTTAAAGAAAAAGCATTCTTTGGTGAGGAATCGGAAATCCTCTGCCCGCACGCTGTTTTAACGTTATTTCCGGAAGAGAATGTCTAACACAAGTCCTCTTTTAGCTCAGTGGTTGAGCATTGGATTGCGAAATTCGAAGATCTGAGGTTCGGTTGGGGAAATCATATTTATGTTCTTTGCCTAGCAGACGAGACAAAACAGATACCATCGTTTTACATTCGAAGACCGAGCCGGAAATTCACTATTTTTCTCATTTTATTAATAACAGTCTAATGAGAAAAAGGATACGCTGTGGGGTCAAACCGAGGAAGTCTGCCACCTAAGGAAAAAATATATATCAGAAAAAGGCTAACAGCCTGACTGGACCTCAGAAACTACACGAAAACTCACCAGCTGGTGAAGGTGTTCTACTACGCATGCCGGATGATAGCTTTGAGGGTGGTCTTCTTTCCTGGGAGATAGATCTCCGTGGTGCCCGGCCTCTTCTAGTTGCAGAGCCACTTGTTTGGGCTGGTGATGGCCTGGGACTAAGCAACAGCAAAAACCATTACACAGGTCTTCATGAATAAAACCTAACTCAAGGACGATTTTGACACATTTTTCTGTAACAGTTTCACCATTTACTGATAATCTCGAGTCAAAAAAAGGCTTAAGGGGAGATATTATGGTTGTATCTCTGCCCAAGCAATACACA